TCCCTGCTCAGAACTACAAGGCAAACTTAAAATGTAGCCAACATCTAGCAAAAGGAAATTTTTTCCAGACCCTGGATTGGCAACCAAAACAACACAAGATACTTCTCCAGTCCTGTGTTTGCTTTTTACATTAATCCAACCTTCAAAGAATACATTCCAAATTTGTGATGGTTAATTTAAAAAAAAAAAAAAAAAACACTTTATTTACTCCATCCTACTTGAGAAATCAGATGATTGTGTAACCCACTTATAGCAAAACCTCAAGTTCTACGCAAATTGTGCCTTTTCTACCGGTAAAAGAGTGCAAATGAAAACAAGCACATCTCAGAGCTAATTTGATACTTGCAGCAATGCCAAAATCGCAGAGAGAGAAACAACAGAAGAAGGCTTTTTACAATTAAAGCACATGGCTGAGCAGGAAGAATAAAGCACAGAGAATAGAGATGCAGAACTTGTTTATGCACAGGCTTCTGTCCCACTGATTTTGTTTGAAATCAGTATATTTAGCAGAGACGGGTTTATCCCTGGTGCAGATGGGAAGACAGCGTTGGCACGCTGTGTGGGCTCTGCCAAGACCTGCTACTGGAAGGAGCCCATTGCTCCTTTACCTCCTCCTGCCTCCTCACAACTTCCTGTTCCACCTGTTTTCACCTAGCAATATCAAGGGCCGCAGGAAGTGCTATGAAACTCCTTTGAAAGCACAGTTCCAAGACAAAATCATGAGGATAAACTATGATAGAAGGAAACATGGTCAATACTGGCACAGACACTACAGTCCCATATGGACCTGCAGCTGTTGCACTGTTGTGGTTTAAAACCAACAAGCAATCAAAAAAACCAAGCCACCAAATGCTTCACTTGAAGAGATGGATTGGTACAAAAGACAAAAACAAGCCTCTTACTTTTTCTTAATTATTGCTACATGGTTCTTATTGGATTCTTTTAAGATGGCCAAGGTGCCTATTACTTACCTATTGGATATTCAAAGGTAAATGATTAAATATCCCATTTTAATTTAAGACAAATCTAATTGATCCTGACTAAAATCTCAGGATTGCAATGATAATTCTCATCTTAAATTTCTAAGACTTGGAGAAAACAAACAAGATTCTTTTCCATGTTTGGTCTTGTACTTTATTACAGACTCACTGCAAGTGTTACCACTATCTCCAGCAGATGCATGACTTTGCAAAGTCCATTACAGTTTGGTTCTTAATACCCTTCAGATCTATTCATTTTCAACTCCTTAAAACTCACAGCCACACCAAATGAAAAATTGACATGACAGTTTAGCCTCTAGGTTGGATTAGTCTGACTATTTTTGATTTGGAGGCAGACAAAAAAAAAAAAGCCATGAAATGTTTGTGGTTTCAGAAGCTTTTCCTTTAGAGCAAAAATAGTTTTGCTTTTAAAAATAACGTTCTGGAAGTATTTAGTTCTTAAAATAAAAAAGGGTGTCAGGGTGAGGAAAAGTCTTTTCCTGCAGCAATCCAAAAAAAAAAAACAAAAAAAAACATAGTCACTAAGTCAGGTATTAAGGTGACAAAGATTTCTTTATAAATAACTTGTAAATATATACTACAGCTGACAACGCTAAACAAGGTATTGCAAGTCAAGAGATAATTGAGAATTGGTAGCAGAGATGGAGAGGTATGGCTGCTTTTTGTGTACTAAAATAAGGTGTTCAAAGATCAGTCACCAGTGGTGAGTTATTTAACGCTGACCATTCATATTATGCAACATGTAGCATACTGCCTGCTTGGAAGGAGGACATGTAAAGCTCCATGCTGTCAGTGACCATTTGCAAAGACTGTGAAATCAAACTATCATTTGATACGTGTTTCTTAAGAAAGATACCTGCACTGCAAATCTTTTAACAAGCTTAAGGATCTCTTCAACTGTATCATCACTAAAATCACTAACTATTCAATCACATATTCTCTGTTTATTAAAATAGACTTTGTAATTTTAAATATCCTTCTTACGGTTTGTGCTGTACTGGCATGCATCTCTGATGCATTTGTCACCTTCCATGCTCTTATACAGATGACTGATCAAATCATGTCCCGCAGGCAACAGCAGGTGGCTGAAGATGAGAATAATCACTGTTTTTCTCAGTTTCAGCTTTCCAGTCAAAGCATACTGTAGGCGTATGTACTTTCAGATAAGGCTCATATACCTTTTAAAGCAAAAGTAGTATTCTAGATTGGAAATTTGCTTGGGTGATGCATATAGTCACATTTCAGGCCTTTTCCATGTTTTATCTTTTTATTGTTTTTAAATTTCTCTTATTTCTTTAATTTGACATGCCAGAAAATGTTTCTTGCTGGAAAAGTCTGTGTGATTAAATTTCAGTGATTAATAGATAAAGCATGATTCTTTTCTCTGCATGAATTCCTTATAAACAATCAGTTTTGTTGCACATCTGAATTTCTTCATCCCAAATCTTTGTAAAAACTGAAATTGTGACTAACTGTATTTACACATTAATTGAAAATTCAATTACATATTCATTTGTATATTAATTGCAATTAGTTGTAAGAGTTCCTGGTGACTCTCCGCACTTACATTTCTGAGTTGTTTCTCAGCTGGTAGTTTCTGGCATTCATGACAGGAGTGCAGGGAAAGAAATACGGCAAATATACTGTTACAGTTGTAGTACATACCTGCAGGCATTATAAAAAGTAAACAAATTATCATGAGATGTAGAAATAGAGAAAAACAGATAGAAAATTGTCTAAAAATCACTAGTGCCCACAGTTACCAAAGTTGTCCTTTAGATCTTACCCACATAACCCAGAATATCAGCATTTACCCATGAACAACTAGCAAGAGCCAGGTTCACCCATCTAGCTTCAGACACTAACTCCATTAAATCATAGAATCAGTAAGACTTGAAAAGACCTCTAAGATCACCTAGTCCAACCATCAGCCCATCCCCACTGTGCCCACTAACCACATCCCTCACTGCTACATCTGCATGGTTTGTGAACACCTCCAGGGACGGTGACTGCACCACCTTCCTGGGCAGCCTGTGCCATTACAACTTATGAATTAGTTTCCACCTCTGTAACCATCCAAAATCCACAGCCACCTCCAGAGCTGGATGTGCCCAGCCTTCCTGCCACACACCACAGCTGCTGATGGAGATGTGTCCATGCAAGCTGTGGGATTTAAGTGCCTTTCATTAAAGACCTCATATTTTGTTTGGTACTTAAAATTATGCTGTGTGTTGAAAACAATCCATCGCCTCCATTTAAATTACTTCCTGATTTTTGTAAACTTATAGTCCTTGGTAAGATGAATAAACAGTCTACATGACAGGACTCTGTTTTGGTTATATCTATTTTTAATTTCCAATTCAAAAATAATGTTAGGTTCTTAGTTTAGATTAATTTATCTTTCAAAGCAGATGAAGATAGACTCCCCATCAAGACTGAGAAAAAATTAAGTAGGCGTGTAGAGAGAAATTACTGGAATGCATGGTCATATGAATAACTTTTGCAAGCACAAGGTTTCACACACTGGACTGCTATAAAACAGCTCATGCATCATGTTTAGAGAAGACCTTAAGCTAAGATTCAACCACATGCAATTGTGACCATTCGTCAGAGAATTGTATCTCCAAGAATATCAACTTTTGGACAGAGCGTTGGTGGGCAGATAAGTGAAACTGGAAGCAGTTCAGTCTTCATGAAGGTCAGGCTGTATATCTGAGAATGTAACACTGGTTCAGTTCAAAACCATTTTTGCCCAAGTCCCAAACTCAAATGGCAGGTAGGACAGCGAGGGCAGAGCCAGAGGCTGGAGATGCAAAGCAGTAGCCTGTCTTCACAGCTAAACAGAAAAAAAAGTATCCTCTCAAATAACCTTTAAAAGTTTTGACAGCTTAATATATATGTATATATGCTGAAATTGTTCATGGAAGCACTAAGCTTTTTGGAACAGAAGCATTAGTCAATGAGATATTTAAAAAAAAAAAAAAAAAAAAAAAGGAAAAAGGAAAAAGGAAAAAGAAAGATAACTATGCCAGATTCTTGGCAAAGCTTTATCTACACTGCAATTTCCTCACAGAGAATAAGGTGATGAATTGAAGAGAAGAAAACACAGGCCAAGGCACAGAAGGGCACTTAGGAAGACGGCTCTGCCTAATCTATGGGCTGAAGATTAGATATTCAATTCCAGTCAAAGGAATGGTACCCTGGGTTATGTTGTGGGTGTGGAAGATACCATGGTGGGTCCTCGCCAAGTTTAAATGCAGACTGGTTTGTACAAGATTATTTTTGGTTAAAGTCACTGTGACACAGTTTCTTTCAGTTGCCCAATTATGTGAGTTTATGAAAAGAAAAATTAAAAAAAAATTAAAAAATTAAAAAAGGAACTATACTGTTCTTTCTCAGATCAGTTTCTTCCTTGCAGATTTTTTGCCAGGTTATAACAAAATAAGGACTGTGACCTGAGCAGGATCGTCTAGAGCCAATAAGGAAAACAGCCTGAATAAGAGTTCATGTCATAAAATCAGTGTAAGAAGAGCAGCATGTTTGCGTTTTCTTTTGTTTGTTAATGAAAACAATGAAGACAAAATATATAAATGGCAAAGCTTTTGTAAGCACTATAGCCCACAAAGCATACACTGTTCTTGCAGTTTCAGCTGTGATCTGGCAAGGTGCTCGCTCACCACTCCATCAGCTTTTGGAGACAGTAAGGAGCCACTCCTAAGCAGTGTGAAGTAGGCATTTTCTTTCTGTCTGGCACTGAATCTTTGCTAACTGATCTTAAATTTAATCCTATAGCATCTTCTAACAAACTGAATCTTGCTGGCTTCCATTATGGTGAGTTTCTTGGTTGTTGGTTTTTTTTTGTTTGTTTGTTTGTTTGTTTTTGTCTTGATTTTCATCACTGTTCCAACAAGTAATAAAGAACTGTATGATTTTTTGTGTGTAAGTAGCTTATGCTAGGCTTTTGTAATGTGTTATGAGAAAGCCAAACCTTCCCCAAAGTAGGGGAAGTGGCTGTCAAACAGAGTTCTATTTCCAAATTGCTAAAATATTAATTACTGTAAATCTGACCTTTCACAGCTTCATTTACACAGGACTAACAGGATTCACACAAGGGACTCTACTCCTCATTCTGCTGACTGAAATCTCACTGCTCAGGGATTTTTATCAGTGTTTATCACTGCAGTGCTCAACAGCAGAAAGTCCTGACTCCACCGTAAGACATGGAAGCAAATTAGTGGCAGAACAAATGGAGACTGGGCACAGGAAGGGTAATCACTGAAGCAATAAAACTCATTTTCCCTACCCTCTTTATCCATTCCTTCTAACATGGTAGCAAAAAGCATCACCTGATCTTCTTCACCTCAGCAACGTACTGTACAAACACAGCTCCAAGCTGAAAAGCTGCATTCTGCCACTAAGAGGAGCTAAAATCCAGTTCTCATCGATGATATGGCCATGCTCCAGTGCTGGAAACTCACAGCAGATCCCTTCTCCTCTCCTCTTCCTCCTAAAGGAGTCCAGGTTTCCCCTCTCTTGTGCCAACAGTGCCAAAGAAGAAGCAGAGCTTGGCAGAAAGGAAGGAACCAGACTGCCACAGCACACAAAGTTTTCAAGGACTAAATGAAATGCACACTTTCTGACCTGACAGAGAGGAAAAAATAGTGCAACCTGTGGGAAATTTACACAGCTGCGTACCAATCTGTGGAGAAAATGAGTTGATGTAATTTGCAGAGAGAGACTTGACCACATGCCTCAATCTTTGGTTATTCTCACTTTAAGCCCTAAAAGCTTCCCTTCTAGTATTTAAAATACTGTTTTCTACCAGTGTCATTCAGGTGGCTAATGCAAGCTGACTGCACTGCCTGAAGCTTATGTCTTACCATGGTCTCAGAGTAGAGGCTGTTTAAGTCATGTCTCGGCTGATGGGAGAGAGCATCAATATGGCCACTCCCACTGATCTACAACTGAATACCCATCTCTTCAGGAGAGTGGGAAATACAAGTCTGCTTATAAAAAAACAAGTGCACATGAAACTTATTGGTACGTTTCCTAAGAGAGGGCAGAATAAAGGATATTCAGTGTGCACCAATATTCCCAAAGAAAGGCCATCTCAACACTTTAAAAGTTTGGAAACTCTTCAAAAAACTTACTTAAAAATGAAGAAGGGAAAATTATGACAAACAGATATTCACTAGAGAAACTTACAGAGTAACCCAACTGAGCAGTTTACTGGATGTGTAGTAGAAAAGCTCTAAAGGATTCTCCCCTTCATGTTTAATAATATACTTACATTATAATCAAACCATAAAGTTGAAAATGATGAAAATATCCAAAACATGGAAACCTTTTATCTATACGCTTTTTGTTCTAATGACACCTCACAGGATAAAGTCAAACAAAGTCTGGAGGTAAAATGACACCATCATGGCTTATTGCAGTATCTGAGACTCCAAGCCAACCTCCATCAGTAACATCTAGGGATAACTGACCCCAGATACACAACTAGGTCCAGAAAGCTGTCTCTATCTATCCACAGCTTTTAAACCCAGCAGGAGAGCATAAGGGCAACATATTTCAAGTATTAACGGGGGAAAAAAATGTTTCTTCTTTCTTCACTACCTATACATCCTCTGGAAACTCATCTGTTTCCTCTACACCATTGTACATTAGGTCAAGCACCAGCAGGTCAGATTCACTTTTCCATCCAGTCAACTTATGACCTGCCCTAATTAGCCACTGTAAACATTATATGATCAAGAGAAACATATTATTTACTTACCAGAATAAGCACAGTTTCCAGCAGCTTGCTTGTTTTGCTAAGGGATGATTTTGGAATTGAATTAAAGAACTGCATACGTAACTTATTAATTTTTATATTTAGGGAAACAAAGAGAGCTCCCAGAAGACCTCCAAGCATTCCAAGTAGGATGGCTGGAATGAAGGCCAAGACATGCACGTCCAGCAAATTCTTAACCTGAGTTGAAGGAAGGAGAAAACGTGTTCTGAACATCCTGCCAGTGACATGAAATATTGCACCCTCTCCCACAAAACTTGACACCACAAAGTAATTTCTACACAAAAAAAAAAAATCCTTCCTTATGTTTTAGGGATGCAGCTAGTTAATTTAAAGCCAGTCTCATGTGAGGCAGTGTACTGCTCTTACACACCTCACAGCAGTGGAGGCAGCAAGTAGACACTATCATTGTCACAGATAGATCCATTACTTAGTGATTTTCATTCCTGAACGACTGTAAAGGAATTGAGCAAGTAATGTAGTAAGTTAAGGAAAAAAGTATTCTCTTGGGCCCATCTTTCCCTGGGGAATAGTAATGAACCTAGCAGAAAATTCTATGATGTACTGCAGTTACCACAAACACTCAGCACCTCAGGTTACCCGCAAATAATGACACACTGGTCTGAGTGGTGCAGTTCGAAAGATTTTGCTGGACCAGAGCTTTGTTCACGGTATCTGTACCTACCTCATAATTTTTTAAAGTTGACCTGGGTCAGGGCAACCCCAAACACAGATACAGGTGGAGCTAGAGCAGCCCCAAGAAGAAGGATTTCAGAGTGTCAGTTGATAAAAGATTCCAGCTCATGTACAGCCCAAAAAGTCAGCCATATTCTCAGTTGGATCAAGAGAAGTGTGACCAGCATATGGAGGGGGTGATTCTGCCCCTCTGCTCTCATGAGACCGCACTTGGAGTACTGTGTCCAGTTCTGGAGCCCCCAAAACCAGAAGGACATGGAGCTGCTAGAGCAGGTCCGGAGGAGGGCTACAAAGACGATCAGAGGGCTGGAGCACCTCCCCTATGAGGACAGGTTGTGAGAGGCTCTTCAGCCTGGAGAAGAGAAGACTCCGAGCAGACTGTATAGCAACCTTCCAGTACCTGGAAGGGGCCTACAGGAAAGCTGTGGAGGGACTTTTTATAAGGGCACGTTGCAACAGGATGAGGGGAAACGGTTTTAAACTGGAAGAGGGTAGATTTAGACTGGATATCAGGAAGAAATTATTTACAGGCTGGATGGACTGGAGGGAGGTGTCCCTGCCTATAGCAGGGGTTGGAACTCGATGATCTTAAAGGTCCCTTCCAACCAAAACCATTCTATGATTCATTGTCAACCTCAATTCAACCATGCGAATTGAGTGCATTTTTAAACGCTAAGTACAGCTGAAAATTGATGCTGATCTGGAACAACTCACAGAAAAACAGATCACAGATGTAGGATATAATCTGGCAGCTGGAATAGGAATTGAATTTTCTGCTCGATTCCGCAACAGGCAACAAGGATTAGAGCAGTTTCATACCTTAATGTTATCTTCCAGTCAACAAAAAGAGGTTAATAGATTGGTGAATATCTATTAAATTATATATATATAAATATCTATTATGTGAGGATATTATTTCCTTAGTCCAGGCTTAGAGATACATGGTGATTTTTTTTTTCAAGATTACGATCTGGACAGAGTAAGAGATCATGAAACATTCAAAAAGCTGGCAGAGAGAAACAGGGAAACACATGAAGGAATGGCTTCAAAACTACACTAGGATAATACTTGAGGTAGTTGATAAGAGAAACTGGCATCCTTCCTTGAATTGCTTGAAGAAGTCCATAGGAGCTCCTACTCAAATTATTTTTTCTTCCTCTTTTTATTCTTTTTCCTTTATTTTATTCTCATACCTCTTCCAGCAAATAGTGAAAATTTTAACAAGTCTACCAGAAGGCTGAGCTAAGCGCTGATGGTATCATCTGAGAAGAAGAGTGCCAGAGCTGAAATCCAGTCAGGCCTGAAGAGCTGCATACTGAGAGACCTGGTCTGGTCTAAGCAAGGCAGAATCCCAGCTTTCACTCAGACACTAGGAGCTCAACACCTGGAGATGCATTCAGAGGAAGTCAGGAGTGGCTGTAGGTTTATCTTGCCTTTTCACTCAGACTACAACAACTACATATGAGCATATTGTACATACAAACCAAACCTTCAGCGATATTATTTTTACCATCAGCTGCATCAAAATCCATCCTTTTCCAAGGGATTTAAAGAGATCTAATGTGTAAGATAATGAAATTCAAAAAGGAATAGCTCAATTGAAAGTAGTAGGGTATAATATTCTTGCCATAGTGTCAGCCACAGGCTTTGGCCAGTCATCAGGAAAAGTCTGTTAGCTATAGAATAGTCTTCACCTTTACAAAACATCCAATGGCCTACATAAAAATAAAGTGAAGCTTCCTGAAAATCTCAAGCTCTGGAGTACAATAAATTCTTGTAACCTTATCTTAAGTTGAAGGAAACTAAAGAAAACAAACAGTTTTCTGAGAAACAAAACCCACAGGCTTTCAACTTAGAGTTTATCCACTGTAAACTGTGTTGGTTAATGCCATGAAACATAAAAGAAGCAAAATTTCCCCTGAGCCCGGGGTTCAGTGAAATGAAAATATTTCTAGTTATCTCTACCAACTTGAGAGCCAGAAACTATTCAACCCTGACAGAAGCCACACTGATAATAAGTTAGCTTTTCCTGCTAATGACACTAAAAGAAGATTGGAGACAGAATCCAGCACACTTTTTTGAAAATGTCTTGAAAGGAGCGTTGAAAGAGCTATGTTTATTGTAAAATAGCCACCAAAGTAAATCTACTCTCCTCTGTATGTGCAGCTGTCCATTACACAATCCTTTGGCTTCAGCAATAAAGCTGTCTTCAGCAGGCCTGAGCTCTTCCTTATTCATTTAGTCTCACCTTTCTGCCACAAATTTATGTCATCTTGGTTGTGCCACTGCAGCTGTTCGTGGGACTGCACGGTGAGTTGGTCCACAATAAGGATTTGAGTTGAAAACCACTATCTTCTCCCATTATCCCAGCTAAACTTGTGGTAAAGCAAATAGACCTCAAATACTTTTGCATAGCATGTGCATATAAAAAAAAGTTGCCTGTTTTCCAAATCATGGAATGTCTACATGTGGAAAATCAATCGCTCTCTCTCTCTCTCTTTTTTTTTTTTTTTTTTTTATTGATAGAGAAATACAAATCAGAAGAAATACAGAGACCAATTAAAATGATCAGGAAAGGAGAAAAGTTGCTTAGGAGCAGAAAGTGGACTGGGGTTCGTGAGACCACGGTTTTATTTTTATCCCTCTAATTGACTTTCAAGTCGCATCATAATACAGAGAGTATTCAGACAAGAAGTGAAGATCTTGATTCTCACACACCACCATTGAATCATCTTGCAATGAGGGTGAGTGAAAGACATAATAAAAGCAACTATTTTTAGGTGTACACAAAGTAAAATTGAAAGCATAAGGTTGTGTCACGCTGGAAGGAATAAAGGCTGAAGGTCACCTCTGTTGTGCAACCAGGAACAAACAGAGATTATGTTTTTAAATGTTTAATCTGTAAGCACAAAAGAACAGGGCCACAGTATGGAGATGTCTGCAGCAACAAAGGAGAGCTCAAGCCAACCACAGAAGAAGTCACTGAACATCTTGTACTACAACGTAAAATGCGCTTTTCTACTTAAGTAGGGACTGCCAAACAGCTGTCTTGTATCCAAGTGATTACCAGACATAAAGCATGAAGGCTCCTGTGTCCACTGATCTGATAATCACACATACACTATTTTTCTTCCTTTTCGGTCCCAATTCCCTGCTACTCCCCCAAGAATAATGTTGAGAGAAACAAACCTAAAACTCAGCATCTCATTCCTTCCACATCCACACAGTACATACCCAAAACAGAATTCTTTTTTCTGCTTCAAAAAATCCAAAGTGGCCTCTGTAAACAAATCCATAGAGCGATGAGGACAGCAAATCCGTGGTGAATGTAGCTGTCAAGCAGCAAAAGAAGGTTTGCCAGGCCAGCCTGATGTCCCAGAAGGAAGACACCTCCTCCAGCGTGAATAAGAGCCCGCCGATGGGGGCACGAAATACTGAAGCTATCCCTGCTCCCGCACCAGCTGTAATGAAGCTGCGCCTGCAACAAGTAGTAGAGGCAACACCTGGATAACTGAAAACAACAACCAAAACAAACAAGAAAAAAAAAACCAACAACCCTCCAGAATCACAGTTTCAAATCAAATATGAGTTCTATAGAACTGAATTTAAAGACCTGACGGTTCATTTTGGGGCTATTACGACACCTTTCGTCAGTAGGTTCTGAATTCAGGTCTAGTCTCAGATCTGATTCTCGTGAGTCAAGTTCCTGGGACTACTTGGCAGATTAGCAATACAGTCATTTCAATACTGAGGCTTGTGGAGAACACGAGAATCTAGTAGCAACAGTGACCAAAGCACCCATACTGTAGTAAAGTATTACATAATCATACTCTGAACTCTTAGGGCTTCTAGTCAGCAGGAAAGGGGAAATGACACTTCATTCACAGATTTCCTTCATACCATAACATTTTTTCTCTTTCCTGATCTTCAGCCTTGAAAAAATCCTCAATCCTAGAATATCACATGAGAAATGCAATGCCATGATAGCAAGATGCTGAAGTGTTGCTGAACAGTGTAATTAACGCAGGACAGATATAACATTTCATAGAGTGCAGCCAGCAGGAGCAGGGAGGTGATCGTCCCTCTGTACTCAGCTCTGGTGAGGCTGCATTCCAAGCACTGTGTTCAGTTTTAGGCCCCTCACTACAGGACAGACATCGAGGCCCTGGTGTGTGTCCAGAAAAGGGCTACGATGCTGTGAGGGGTCTGGAGCACAAGTCTGATGAGGAGCGGCTGAGGGGCTGGGATTGTTCAGTCTGGAGAAGAGGAGGCTCAGGGGAGACCTCATTGCTCTTTACAACTCCCTGAAAGGAGGTTGTAGTGAGGTGGGGCTCAGCTGTAGCATGCAGAACAGTGGGAAGGATACAGAAAGAGGAAATAAGAGTGTGAAAGAATTTTACCTTGGAAAAATGTATTTAAGTGCAGCCTTTGCAATGGGTACCGTGCTGATGCTGACACACATAATAGTGCTCAGCAGCTTATAAAACTTGCATCTTTTGAATGTGCTCCCTGAGACTCTCAGGGATGATTTGCAGAAAAGTGTAATCAGTACTAGCTAGGATTAACAACTACACAAAAATATTTCAGTATTTTGAGTATTAAAAATCATAATTTCTCAGGAATAAGTATAAATATGTATATATCTGACTGGTCTTCTGAAAATATGAACCCTACATTAGGTGGCACTTTTGACTTTTCCAGGGTGCCCACAAATTTTGTAAGCACAAAGATGGGAGGAAATAAAGGTAATGAACAGAAAAGAAAAAAAAAAATTAAAAAAGGAAAAAAACTATAAAAGGAAAAGATTAGAAAGTTCACATGTTGAAGTCCTTACAAGGACCCTCTCCTCCAAAGAGTGAGGAGGAGTCCATCAGCAAAGCTACATAGGCAACTTCACGTCTGGTATTTTACTACTAACGGGGTTATACACCGTTGGTGCACAGATTTTTTACTTGCATGTTTTATCTGCAAAGGAACATTATTTTCAGCAGTGAAGAATTTAAAAGGTACTGCAGTAAATACTAGGGGAAATTTGCTTGGACATCTCCCACTTTCTGTTCCAGTTATTTGCATGTGCTGTGCATCACACAAGCAGTGACAATTAATAATGAAATCAGACCCCTTGTACAGATCTCTTACAGCTGCCTGTTGGATGGAAGCCTTAGGATCCTTCCACAACTCCTGCTGGTTGAATTACTGCTTTGCCTGTGGCAGTTCTGGGAGAGGCACCAAGCCTATGTAATAGCTCCAAAAGACAACAGGGAGCTGGAGTTTTTCATCCTGATATTTGTAAAAGGAGCAAGGTCTTGCTCAGACTGAAATCTCTCTCTGTTTTTAAGAAATAATCACTTTGTAAAGAAGACTTCAACACACCATGTCTTTCTGAGATAGTTCCAGCTAGATCAGGCTGTTCTGATTTATTTAAATGATTGACCTTGAATCACAGAATGGCCAGGGTTGGAAGGGACCTCAAGGATCATGAATCTCCAACCCCAATGCCACATGCAGGGCCACCAACCTCCTCATTTAATACTAGACCAGGTTGCCCAGAGCCCCATCCAATGAAATGATCATAGAATGGCCTGGGTTGAAAAGGACCACAATGAACATCTAGTTTCAACCCCCCTGCTATGTGCGGGGTCACCAACCACCAGACCAGGCTGCCCAGAGCCACATCCAGCCTGGCCTTGAATGCCTCCAGGGATGGGGCATCCACAGCCTCCTTGGGAAACATGTTCAGTGCCATCCTCTGAGGGAAAAACTTCCTCCTAGATGATGAAGGCAAAGGGAGTCCCATTCTTGCCTCCTACGTTTTTTTATTTATTTGCAAGCAGCATATAGTTCACAGTTGCCATTCATTTGATTTTTTCCTATTGTTACTTTATTTTTCTTAGGAAATTAAGACATCAGTCTTTCTTTTTTTCCTTGCTTTAGAACAGTCAGTATTGCTTGAGCTTTTGTACTTGTGTATTTTATATAACTACAAAATATATACCAGCTAGAAGACATAAGCAGGTTTGTAATTTCTTCTTCTGGGAAATAATCTCATTACTTTCAGTAGAACTGTTCACAAGGGAGAGCTTACCAGAGTTACCAGCTTACCAGACACATACATGCAGAGAAGAGGCAAATAAAAAAAAGCAAGTGACACAACCATTTACTTTTTTTAAACTAAGAAAGGAAGCTAAGGGCCCTCTGTGCACACTGTGGAATCCCCAATATTTCCTCTCCCCTGAGCTGAGACTCTTAGTTTGGGAATAAAGCTCACAGCTGAAGCTCTCACATTTCTTAACCTCTTCCTTTTACAGCCAAAAGGGCAATGGAAAAAGATTTTCAGTATTAATGCATTCTTTTCCAGAAGCCTACAGTAGAACCATTTGTGAAGGATTTAATTTATTAAGTATGGTGAGTTTTCTTCCACTGCAAAGTGACAAACAGCAGGAAGACTAAAAGACTTGTGGAGCAGCACCTCCATTCCTGCATGAGATGCAAGGTACCGTTGAAGCACCTAGGGTTTGGGGGAGTCACCAGTCTGTGCCCTGCCCATCACTTACTTGTCAGCTGAATTCCGAAACCTGGTGAAGAAGGGAAGGTGGATGCCAAGTGTGTCCGACTGCAGCTGGCTCAGGCCACAACCCAGGATAGCCCTAAAAGTAGTGATGTATAATTGAGAGCACTCTTCAGTAAACTGTTCATAAATCAGCCCCAGCTCAAGGCAGGGGAGGACAGAACCTCAGTCAGCGTGCAGCAGCAAAGCTAAATTGGCTTCAATAGATTTAAACAAGAAAAAACTTGAACACATCTTTTAAATATGCAAAATCCTGTTGACAAAAAGCAGGAGGCTCTTAAAGATTTTCAGATTCTTAACTGAGACACTTAAATGGCTTTTTTTGCCAGGAGTATTGTGATGATTGATCGTGAAATACCTTTTGAAGAACTGCATGTTAGTGTCTGCCCAAGTGTGGTGACCCGTCAGACTACAGCCCATCATTTCAATCATCTGCCCCCAGGTTAATGACCACAGCAGGCAGAACAGCTCTGCTTCTGACAGAAGATGATTTAAATTATTACAGTATGTTCCCAGGCAGCACGTCAAACTACATTTAAATGGGGGAAAAAGAAACCAACAAAAACCCCTCAGTGAAATGAAAAATCCATTCACTGTATAATCTTGGAAGACTTCTCTACAAGACTTAAACTAGGGGTCTTAAGGAGTCTCTCAGAGGCTTTTAGCAACTTGTGTGTTTATGTTTAATAAAAATGGTAGAGGGTTCCAATTAAATTAAGTTAAATTAGCTCTTAGTTCCTGTGTTTTGAAAAGGCATCACATTAATACCACACTGAATTTCTTCATGGAAATACGATTCCATTCTTTGGCTCAGGCATCACTGTTACCAACCTAGCACAGAGGAAAAACATCACAGCTGCAGTCTCTGAGCTCCTAGAGACAGAGGTCTGAAGGCAAAGAAAACAAAAGAAATCTGATGGTAATCGCTGTCTGAAAGGCTTGCGGCTCCTCTGACCAAGCAGGCTCTCCTATTTTTGAAAATCTGAGTCATCCCCAATGGTGCTACACCTCCATTCGGATAAATAATAAATAAATAAAAGCCCACAGAGTAGCAGGTCGGGTCAGCAAAGAGAACAAACCTCAAGGATGAATGCTTTCCCAAGCCAAAAAGTATCAGAAGTAAAACAGTGAATTAGCCAACAAGCGATCTACAGCATGTTAACAGAGACCAATTTCACCAACTCTACTCAAGATATGGCTTAATAATAGTAATGAAGTGTAGCAGGAGTCACCTCCAAATAGACGGCCTTGCACAATCACAGGACTTGTGCAAGTGGGTGCAAAAACGTTGCCCATTTTGCGTGCAGCCACCTGAACCTGCCTTTATTTTTGCACTGACTTTACACAGCTAAAAGTAATTACAGGAGATGCAAAGCAGCCAGCATCGCTCCAGGCCAACAGCAGTTTTGCCAATCCAGTCTCCCCTGCTTTCTCAGCACACTGTAAGCTACCTCATCAGTTGTCCAGATAGCTACTTACTGAACCCCGCTCAGAGTCATACAGACAAATCCAGCCGATGTTTAAAACACAGAGTAAAGAAAATGATTTCCTTCACTACATGGCTTGAACAGGAGTGCTAGTGAAAAGTAGGGGACAACACAACACCACTGGTACTAATGCAGTGAGAGCGTTTTGAAGCCGGTGTTGCCACCAAGCAAGACATTGCAAAGCCATCTCCAATCTGACAGCTTTAACTTCAGCATTTCTTACCCCAAATGGACCATGGGACCTTCCAGCCCACAGAAGAGCCCAGAGGCTACAGCCAGCACGCATGAGACAAAGGTCCCTAGGAAGGTTTTGATGTTAAATAGATGTTGAATAGAAGTGCCATTCAAATATCCAATGATTTCGGGCAAGCCAGATGGTGAACCAGCTGGGCAAAAGAACTGCAAAGGGAAAAAATAATTAGCAGAGTTTGTGCTTGTATCCTTCCAGCCACATCTGTGGATGTAGTCTGTAAGTCCAGATCTCATCTTGCTCATGAACAAGATTTGCCTGAGTTAACAGTGCATGCATAAATATAATCTCTGGCAACACAGAAACATGTGTTCTCAGCAATTGCCATGCATGGAGAAGGGAGAGAAGATGACTGCAGGGGGCCCACCTCTGCTCTGAGCCTTACCGTCAAGGCCCTGCGTCCTGCACACAGGTTCATAGAATGGCCTGGGTTGAAATAGTCCACAATTATCACCTAGTTTCAACCCCCCTACTATGTGCAGGGTTGCCAACTACTAGACCAGGTTGCCCAGAGCCACATCCAGCCTGGCCTTGAACACCTCCAGGGATGGGGCATCCACAGCCTCCTTGGGCATACCAGAGGGAAACCCTCCTTGGGTTACCACAGGGGCAGGTGGTTGTGAGCCTGCAGCGTTCGCTCAGTCAGCACAGCTGTACTTAACTAAATTGGCCAGTTACCACCTGTGCCACAGCAAAATCCCCTTTCCTCATGCAGCCAGACTTCTGGGAAGTTCAGTAAAACATTCAATTTTTCTGTCACCTGCACTGTTAATAGCTTCTCTGTAACTAAACTGAGCACAGCAGAGCAGTAAATGGCAGCAAGGCTCAATGCTCTAGCCTTGCAGTCTTATAAAAGCACTGATCTAGGCTGCAAGTGATACCCACACAGCAGAGCTAAAAGATCAGTCTAAAACCAACAGTAGTTTTCATACGGCTCGATGGCCTTTGGCTCAGGCCCCTTCCAAACACTAAATTCTCACATGTTCCAACAGTTACCACTCGTATTTGTTTTACAGACACCACACACCAAGTGCAAATTGCATGGCTGCCACCACAGATCTCACCCCAGACAGTTCTACACAATTTACGGGCAGCAGAATTTAGCCTTAGGCTGAAGGCCAAAAACAGCCTCCCCAATTGGGTTGTAAGAGAGATTTTACATAAATATATACAAAATACTGAATTAAACAACATTTGGAAGAACATGAGATTTGGGTTACTGCAGCACTATGGGCTCTTTGCACAAAAGACAGCACTCACCAGCACCAAGCTTGAGGACACGAGGACCATGGCCAGCCCAGGACCCAGCACACACACCCACACCAGGTGGAAGTTGCCATCCTGCACAGTTTACAAAGAGATTGTTACTTCAGCACCTGTGTACTGGCTATATGCCCTGCTTTGTAATCATCTGCAGATAGAATGTGCAGGGAAAAAAAAAACCAACAAAATAAAAGTAGTGCAGTTTCTTTAAAAGGACAGACACAACAGTAAGCTAAAGGCCAATGTGCCAAGTCGTGATTTTTTTTTCTGGGCCATTTTGCCCATCTCTGGAAACGCTGTAAGGGATGCATTGTTACTCACCAAGGCCCTTTTGGGAACAAGAGGAAAGGGACTTTAAGAATATACACAAGGAATCACTAAATGGAGCCCTCAGGAGATGTGCTCTTGAACTGAGGCTTCAAGGTCATTACCTTCATGAATTTGCAGCTCTTATGAATAAACAGAGTACTTCTAAGGAAGCTCTTCTTGTTCCATTTTAAGAAAAGGAACATCTCTCATACCATGCCTTCTCACATTTAAAATTGCTTTTCAGTCTCCCTGGGTTTTTGGTTTATTTGTTTGTGCTTGAGCTGATTGCAGCCATACTGTTTCCATTTCTCCACAGTTCCCACATGCTTTGTCTCTTTCCACAGTGCTGGGTTGAGATTCAGTGTGTGTGCAGGTGAAACACAACCTTGCATTTCAGAGGTCATGGTGTTACAGCAGGTCACGACAGCCCTTCCATTTCAACATCTCATACCAGTGCTTTTAATAGCATATATTGCAGCACAGCCAAACAGGAAAGCACAGTGATGAGCCTTGCTCATCTGCAGCTGAAGGAGGTGGATGGGAAGGTTAAACATTTGTACTGCTTTCAGAGCCTGGGAGAGCTTACCTGCTGTCCTCTACATTAGCTTAATACAATATGACAAACATTATAATGCAACAGGGCCAGCACTGTGTGTTGTGGTTGTGCCCTGGAGTCTAACTGTGGTTTCTTTCTATAAATTTAGTTATACCTCAGTGCATATCTATCAGACTGGCTTTTTTGTCCGGTAACACGTCTCTGTCTCTCAGTCATCACAGCTCCTTCTTATCAGGTACAAGCACATAGTAAGAGATCCCTGGGCCTTCTCTTCTGCAGACTGAACAGTGCTAAATCTTTCAGCCTCTTCTTGCACAATGGAGACTTCAGTTCTCATAATCTTCATGATCTTCATGGATTCACTCCAGTACGTCCAGGTCTCTCTTGTACTAGAGAGCCCAGAACTGGACATAGTATTCCAGATCAGGCCTCATCAGCACTTAATAAAGGAGAAGGACTTCCTCCTTCACCTTGCTGGTAGTATTCTTAATGAACCTGACTGAGGAAGCTGATAGCTGAATGGCATACTTACAATGTCTTAAGGGAAACCTAATCCTTTGTCTTCGGCATCGACAATACTTGACATAGCACATGCTCCTTTCACTTTGTCACAAGGAAGACCACAAGACCATGAAGCTACCTTCATCAGTCATATAAGAAAGCCACCAGATATTAAACTGCAGTTGAAAGTAAGTTGGAGAAAAGGAACACGTCCACACAAAGAACCACAGGATATCTGACATCTATACTCATCTAGACAGGCAAAACCTCTAGTCAATTAAATCTTCATGTGGGTTTTCCAACAAATGAGTCCAGAGGAGGTCAATCTAACTTTCTTTTGCTTACCTTCAGGTAACTTTCCACCAGGTCCCATTTCAATTTGAAGAGAGAATCAACTATCTGATGAGTCAAAAACCCCAGCATCCCAACTGCTGTTCCAATTAGCCCCATCAGCAGCCATCGATCCCACTCTTTTCTAGAAGCAGGAGAACACAGTTATTTCTCTGCCTTGAGCAAAGGACCATTTGCTGCACTTCTCATAAATACACAAGTTCCACTTTCAGGATCTTCTGATTATTAATCATGAGTGCATGAGCAAGAGGCTGTTTCTCCCACTGTGTCTCACAAAAGCTCGTGCTCACAGTACACTAACTTCAGGTGAAAGACATTTGGGTAACAAGCATCATTGATTGTTGTTTGCTTTTGTGTATAAGCTGCAATGCAATCTGCCTTCCAGATGCTGATTGTCTGATGCCATCTCAAAACTCATTTACGAGTATCAATAATTAAGCATTCAATAGTGCAGTCAGAGTTTGCTTAAAATAAATTCCTGTTGTCGTCTTCTGCAACTAATGCAATGACACAGCTTTTATTATGCAAATATACACAAATCTTTATATCTAGTTTGCATCTTTTGTATCATATATCTCTAATAATAATTATGTTCTGACAATAACTTTTGTTAGTTTAGTCATTTAGGACTAAAGCCACCCAATTTAGATTCAAATGCCATGTTTCTTGCATATTACACTAAAAGACAGTGAATTTCAAGAAAAGTCTCAGTAAAAGAACATTCCACAAACCTCTACAAACTCTCTTAAAATTGTATACAGTGAGTTGTAACTTTTTTTCCTTATATTCAATAATCTGTCAAGAGAAAAGGGGTAAACACTCAAAAAACAATTTTAAACAAAGGTTGCTTGCCTCTTGCCCCCCTCCTTTCTATCAAAATATTTTCCTATGTACAGAAACAGTACATAATGTTTTCCTTCTGCTAGGAGGCACCTCCCTGGATTGGCCAAATTTCCTAAAGCTTAGAGGCTATCATGATATATAAAATAAATTTACCCGTATGTTTTCTCTTGTAGCCACTTCTTATAAACTCCACTGTGTGAAGGCAAATAATCCAGGCTTTCATGGGGCACTGGCTGTTCTCTCTCTTCACAGTCGTAATAGGCTAAATTACTTCTGTTGATGCCACATTGCCTCCTAAAATCCTGAGGATGAATCAGATCAGAGCCGTGATCTTCTGCCATCAACATTCCCTCTTCGCCATCATCCATGTGTCTTGTATAGGAAAAAAGTGATGACATAACTTGTCTTCCAAAACCTTTGAGATGTCAAGAAGAATGATGTGAGCCAACGATCAGTCACCTTGAGACTGAAAGAAAAACCCCATGAGGATGGGGTGGCTGTGATACAGAGACGGACTTGTTTGTGTTTGGGGTTGGTTTGCTGTGGCTATGCACAGCCCCAGCACCTTCAACACAACAAGAACTTGTCTGAGCTGGAGCTCACTGGTGAAGGAGTCACTCACAGCAGAGAGACCTTAAAGCAGTCCACAGTAACAAGACTATTGCACTGTTCCTCATGGAATGTTCACATAACAGCGATAGGGGCTTCGGTTGTTTTAAAGATATGCTGTGCTTCGAGCTGTCTGGAGAACTTGAACCAATACTATAATCCCACATAAAAATTTTTTAAAAAGCCCTAAATTGCTGTATCATTCACAGTAAAAAATAGGATGACAACAAATTAAAAAATTGCCTACCTGACTTGCTACAATTTGGGTATTGTACTTCAGGAAGTTTTCAGGTTGGCAGTTGAAAGCAGAAGACTTGTTGCAGGTCACATATTTACTGTAAATAGAAACCTGTTACATGCTGCATGTTTGCCACCACCAGGGAGTTGTTTTTGGTTACAGAGAGGAGAGCAGGAAGCTGCTGCTGCTCCCTGTTGCTGGCACATGGGTCAGTTTGGAAAGGTCTCATCTGAAGTAGTGATGAAACATAAATAGTTCCTGGTTGTCAGTTAGTGGCTAGGAAGTGGTGACAGCTCTTAATCAAGCCATTTACTTCTGAGATACAGGCACTTACATGATGTCTTTTTCCAGTTGTCTTAGATCAAGCTGGTATATGTGTATTATAAGGATCAGGTGATGGTCAGTACTGATCTCTGCAGCAGAAATCTGGCAGTTGTACTAACAGATTTCACAGGCATCCTCTCATGCGTTCAAATTTTAAAAAACAAAACAGACTTAAGAATGGGTTTTCAAACATCAGCCCCAAGGTTTTTCCCCGCTCTCATTCACTTAAATCCATCGGTACACTTGCTTCTTCAAAATATATTTCATGAACTCCAGAGAAGCAGTGCACAAATGGACAGTGGCCAAAAACCAGCAGCCGGAGAGCAGAGATGTGAGCCTGCAGGAAAGCAAAGCACGTCTGTGTCCCAGTGACACCCCCGCAGAAAACAGCCATGGCCTTGCAAACTGCACACACACATTCATGGACATTCATTTATTGTTTCCACAAAGAAACTTGAAGACATATTCCTCCTGGATACAGAAAAGTAGTTATTTTCAGAACACTTAGAGGAAGGCAGCAACTATAGATTATCAGTGGGGCTGTAAAAGCATTCTGTACCAGAAATTCCTGTGCTAGAAATACATAGTGCTTAAAGACTCCATCAGAATTGGACCCCAGACCTATGTGTTTCGGCTGTCATTGCGTGCACAGGGGAGCACAGTTAACACATCGATGCTGAACGTTAGCCTTCATCTTTCCTCTGCAAAGTACATTGGAGGGCTTATTATCAACCCTATCAAGTGCGCATAAAGATTGCACTGCTTTCTACCACCAGCGTTCATCTCCAAACATCACCCAAGGATATCCCTGCTTAACCAAGAGCTTCAATGGCTCAGATTTTAGCCTGACTGCAGGCAACGATGAAGTACATTTCCCAGTGCTGGAAGACAAAATTCCAAAACATGAGAGCAGAGAACCCAGGCTGTGCCCAGTGCCCAGGTTACACTCATTGCCACTGCTCTCCAAACAGCATTAGCAATACGTAAAAACTACATAATAACAATGCAATTAATTTAATACTCCCTAGAATTCTACCACTTGTCTTTAAATAGCACAGACATCAAACAAATCCCAACTATTACACACAAAAGCAGCTACACTACAAGTCACAGTAAAAACCACGTTAAAACACTCCAGCCTAGGAAGAAGCAACCCCTTATCTATATATCTAGGTAAATACACAATGTAATTTCCACTGAGTAGAAGCAAGCGTATGAAAACTGAGCAAACATTTCATCAGCCCTCAGTTTTCTGCTGACAGAGAACCAAGCATTTCTGAACAGCATATTTCAGTTATAAGAATTCCTTCTCTCTCCACTGTTTCTTTGTCTTCAGCTACAGGCTTATTCGAGCAGGGGATGTGATTTGTGCATCTGTCAAGCAAAGGGGTGCATGTGTTTGTTGGCATCTGATTTAATACTGATTATTACATAAATATTACAGAATCATCAAATCAAAAATACAGTAAAACATTATAGATTAATAGATTAATAATTAACATTGTTATGCTGAATAGCACAAAAATTCCTAACATAAAATGTGCTTTTGAAATGCCAAGAAATAGTTGCTACTTCAAGGAACACAAGCATTTTAGATTTTATTATTATTATTATTTTAGCAAATTGAAAACAGAAATAGGAGTTTCCAAAGCAGTGCTCTGTTCCAAGCATCCCACTCTAAAAATCATAACCATTACACTGCTAACCAAGGTGACAAAGGCTTTAAACGTTCAACGTTTAATTTGAATGACAACTCAAGGAAGCAAATACTTATCGCAGTCATTGATTGGCAATATTAAAACCACTGCTAACCAGAAACATGATGACTATATATTTTCAATTCACATTATTTCAGTACTTCAAGTTACAGCACTTAAGGAGCGAAAACATTGCACTCACTTAGCAGAACTTTGCTCTAAATGCAATGACTATTACATTTGATGCTGATTGTAAGGACACAGCTGTTTGAAATACTGTCAGATAAGACTGTAACAAATCCATCGTTACAGGTTAATTCTGCCATAAAAGATCATAAATTTTATCTGTGAATCTTCATACAGAAAAAAACTACATGAGACTGAAGTCTGAGAAGACACAAAATAAGATGACTGTGATCATCTCCATGAATCCTGAAATGGCAATGCTGCAGCAAGGTGTTATTTTCAAGATTTATCAGCAGTGGAAGGTCCCATAGCTCCAAGTGCCCCACAACACCCAGATGATCTGGAATCACGCATTTTCTTGAGGCTTCCATCCAGCAAACAACCAACATGAAGAAACAGTATGGCAGAATAGGTGGGGATCAGGGTTACCAGCAATTCGTCCAATATTTTGGCAAATGCAAAAAGGATTTAACACAGACTTTTCTCTTTAATAGTACTGACTGAATTAATCACACATATATGTTTCACCTTAGGACCACTGATCACCAATTACTCCAATTAACCTAGAAACTCAGTATCACAACTTCCATGCTCTTGGTTTACAGTTCTCTACTGTGGCAAGTTTTGCATACCAAAACCTAAAAGGAACAGAGCCATCTGGTTAATTGTGCACTAGCTCAACATCACCCATGACGTTATCTGTTCATGTCATTTGGCACTAGTATAAATAATAGAAGGCTTTTAGTACTTATCACTATTTCAAAATGGTAAACACAGAAAAACATCAAGCTACTTGAATGTGGGAATGCTACTTGACTGCTGGTATACAACACACATGGAGTGGAATTTACTGTACATCCTTACAACTGTTCATCAATTGAGCAGAAGGTACGGATCAACTTAGTGAGAAAACAACAGCAACAAAGCATTGCAGACAGCATTAACACCAAGGTAGCGTAGAAAACTGCTGTTTTAAACACTGAATGGAGCGCTCAGTCCTATGGAAGCTGATGTCAGATAGTGAAAGCTGTTCTACTGTACTTTTAAAGTTATTTTTAAGGCCACTGAAAGAGCACAATACACTGCTTCAGATAGTAACTCCAGCGCCAGAGCAGGTCTTCTGAAGAAAAAAAAAATGTTACAGCAAAACATACAGAATTAGCTCACCACCTCCTTTCCCAGCAGCTAACAACAGCCACTCCAGGGGCACAACGGCTGCATTTCCAGAAAGCAGAGGCTAGAGTAAAAGCAAGCAGTAGTCAGAAACCCTGCCCGTGCCACAGGATCACTACCAGGCAAGCTGCTCCCTATCCTCCTGCACCAAAACATAGGGGAAGAGAACTGTGTTAGGTGTTAAACCCTGAATTATGACCCCAAAAACTACTATGTAGGAAATGCATTCCCACAAACTCACCATATATTTAAAAGTAACCATGTAAAACAAACAATTGCCTAAATGTTTATTATTATGGTTGATCAAATCAGAAGACATGCTGACATTTTCCATTAGGTATCCACTTTACCATAACATTTTAGAGGAGCATGAATGACACATTTATTCCACAGTAGCTTTGCCTTGCCAGCTGTCAAGTATTCTCAAGATGTTTTTGGGAAGATCCATGCCATCAAGGAGCACACCTTGCCACCTTCATGTACTTCACTACAGATGGGTAAGGCACGTTATTACTAATGTGGATGTTTCCATAGGATTGCTCGTTGTATCTTAAGGTTTAAAAGCACGAAACCACCTTTTGTTTTACTTTTCTATTTCACAATGAACTCGTCCCTCCCTTGAAAAAGCAGCACACTGGAATTTCAGCAGTTTCAGAGCACAATGTTTTACACACCAGCTCAGGACCACCAGCAAATTAAGAATTTTCACATGCACTTTGAAGAACAGTTGCTATATTTAGATTCTGAGCTTTCCACACGCAACTGGCTGAAAATGGCGCTCTACTTCACAAGACATGCAAATGCAGTTTTGAGGGGAAAAAAAAAGTCAGTCAGACATTTGCTAACAACAGCATGTACTGTTCCTGCCCAATGAACACCACACAAATTAAGGAGAGGAAATTTCAAATGCTGGCATGGAAATTAAGTTACCAAAAAGAAACACAACATGATAAAACAAATTGCAGGACAAATGCTGATCAGACAGAGATATTTGCAAAACAATGCAACCCTTCCGGAGGAGAGTAAGCAGCTGTGCACTAAAATCTTCCACACGTAATAGAACAGCTTAGGGAAGGCTTTCAACTTCTTGCATTAGCCAAAAACACTGTAACATTCCATAAGGAGTTGCATACAGTCTTGTACCAATGTGAGCAGAAGGGAAATCCAAGACACATAAAACCACTGCAGGAGTGTGTTTCAGTCATCTCACACCCTGGTGTCACAGTTCAAGTCAGCTCTCGCCACCATTGTTTTCTCCTATGCAAAGTGTGTCTGCTTACAGTTGGATACACAGATTAGTACAGACACAAACAGATGAAGAACAGACAAGGGTAAAAACTCGAGGGATGATCTTGTATCAGATACGACCAAGTGATCAACCAGACCTTTTTCATGCTGTCAATAAGATAGTCTCTTAAGCCACATAAATAGTCTGAGCATTTCAAGTTTATGCTGCAATTCTCCCAAAAATTCATATCTCAGAACTGCATGAGTCCATTATTGTAACTGATTATAGACACCAATGTCAGTGTAAGAAAAAAGGATTCAATGGCATCAAAATCATTCAAATGAAAATCAAGTAGGAAAACATTGCAGTGCACTTCAACCAAACCTCCAAACTGCCACAAATGACGCATAATATAAATACAGACAAGAGACAGCTGGCAGCTATAGTTGAACTAATTCTAGAAGTGCCAAATTCGTAAAAAATAAAAAGTATTTAAAAAATTAAATTTCTCCATTGAAAGCAAAGAACATCTAGTTTATTGCTTTTAGAGGTTCTTTACATGAGATATTGGCAAAGGCATATCAAACAAAGCTACCTGGCTGTTGAAGGCTTTTGATTAAATTCAGTTTTTTGAAAGAATAAAACCTTGAATGCAAATAGTCAACTTATTCCCACTGCTAGATGTTCTCACCAAAACAAACACTTACATTTTCCAAGAAGGGTCTCATTTCCAATGGGACACTGCTAGCTTACTTTCTTACGAGAAATCACTAACAGAACCCAAACCAACGATCTCACCAGAAAAAAAAAATATTGAAAACACAGACCAACATTTTTAAGAGGCAACAGGCATTCTAAGTAGAACGACAGTCAGGAACAACACATGAAACACAGATGGAGATATGATGATCTGTGGTATATGTGTGGGGTTTTTTTATTAAAGCTTCCAGAAGATTCTGTGTGTGTGTTTGAGAAGTGGCAAAGGTGGGACAAGAAAAAAAGGAAACATAAAAGGAAAGAAAGATGCAAGAATGCATGAATTGAGGTAACAACTGCCAAAGCACGACAGAGACCTGAGAATCTTCAGAAATGTGGTGTGAAAACTGCTCAGAGGTCAAGTAAGTCACTTGAAAGTTGTGCTCATTTCTCAAAAGATTCTGGAGGGGAGGCATAGGGGAATCTGATAGATGAGATATTTGCTTTTGGTTTGAGGAGGGGAGGCTGTTTGGTTTTTTTTGTTTTTCTTTACATGCACAGTGCAAGTTTGTATAAAGAAGTGGTAGCAGAGATGACAGAAGTTACTCTGCAGCAAAAGAAATACATTGACCTCTAAAGTAAATTAAGCATACAAAATGTAAGAATAGAAGGTGCATGTAAAACCAGCAGCAATATTATGTTTGGCTCTCCACTACTTCTGCAAGTTACTGTACAAATAATACATCACTGTTATAGAAATGGCACAGCCTCAGACACTTTCCACATTTTATTTACATTTTAAGACTAACTTTAATCTCAATCACATATCCATACATTTCCTTTGTTTCACTAAAACTTAAATGCATGGTTTATTAGAACAAAGACTGTAAACAAATATTTGCCATGTCCGATACATGTAACACACAGGAGCTGCTTAACAGAAATTAATCCCCCCATTTTATAAATACAGGTATCAAAACAATCCTGAACATACTTTGTGACACTACTAGTAGTCGGTACCCACACCCTTGCAAAATTAAACAAGATGAGCAACGGTATTCACTGTACCTGCTACTTTAAAACAAATTTTAACTGCAGCTCTTTTACTAAGCAAGATGGATAAAGCATGCCATTTATATTTTGCCTTCTCAAGAGATTATTTTCAGAAACATATATTATTCCACAGCAATCTGACACTTCCTGTCATGCTTTCATCTTGTAAAACCTGAATTCCAATTTTAGGCTATTCCAGGCTTATGCTTAAATGACAGTGCCTTGGTAAGAGAAAAAATAATTGTGCTGCCTTTTTCTCCCATAGTGCCTGAAAACATATTGGGCATACATATATTATATATATTCTTACAAATGTCCAGGTCATGTATACCAGCTGAAATTCTTTTAATGTGTGGGTGTTTGCATTGTGAGATTTAATCAAGACATTAACATGAGTAGAAGGTTGTTGTTTTAAGACAGAAGTTTGAGAATCAGCTAAAATTAATTGTTGTAAGTTTGTCCTTCTGGAGGTTGTGGAAGCTTCATATTTTCTTTGGACATCATTAGACGTCTTAGCTCTTGAAGTACAACTTTAATGCTATAAGAATTTTGCCATTTTGCTAACACTGGTATGCTCCGTGCATCCACCTGGAAAGAGAAGAGAGAGTTGTAAGTTATAATGAAATAATAATAAAAAAATCTATGTATGAATTACTGCTACTGACCTAATGGTTCTAAGAAAGAGTCAAAACATTCCCTGACAATTTCTCTATGGCATAAAGTCCCCACGTTCATAACACAGTTTTTAGGAAAATAAACATACACTTGCACACAGATACAGATTCTGCAATAACACCCATGCAGGTGGATGCCACCATCAGAACAAAAAGGATGGGGTGAGTGGAGAGGAAGTCAGCAAATAGTTCACTGCTAAACTGGAGCCATACCTTACAAAATTCAATTCTACCAATTTGTTTCAAATGACTCAAAAAAAATCATCTTCATTAATCCAATATATACATTGGGTTTTTAAAGAGCTGAGGAAAACACTGACACACAAGTGTTTGCAAATATCTCTCTTAAGGAATACTTCCCTCGCTTCAAGTATCAGTTTGTGATTATTCTGTACCGATGTTATGTGGTGCTTCTGATATACCAAGTATCAGTACATATGCTAAGAAATGGCCTGAAATACTTGATTCATGATGTTGAGCCATTTATTTGTTCTTTGCATTGTTCTTGCAGTAAATCATGTAATGGAGCTGTGAAGATTACTTACATGTAGACTTTCCCTATTCACTTATTAAACCAGTGAGATAACTTACACGATCACAACACAATAGAGAGGTTTCAATAGGTAAGCACAAGTCAACAAATGAAAGTCAGCCTGTAAACTGTTTTGGGAGCAGATACATCCTGACCCCTCAGGCCTGTACGGAGCATCCTAAGAAGATCTTAAGGAGCCCACAGCCGTGGATGGCAAAGGAGACCCAAGGGCAAGAATAGGGCAACTGCATAATACTGAATTCCATTGCCACAGTAACGCAGGAAGGTGATGAGGCTATAAACGTGCTGAAAAATCACTGATTTATGATTTAGGCTGTATAAAGCATCATGAAGCTTCTTTTCTCCTTCTCATTAGAAGGAAAAGCAAAAACAACAACAACAAAAACTTCACTGTCCTTAGAAAGAATTCTAGCAGAAACATTTTCTTTCTAGATTGTTCAAGTTGAGGCTATTTTCAGAACACCAGAAGATGAGACTAAACCTTTTTGTAAGAGGAAACTGATGCCAAAGCTTAACGGCATGCTGGCATATGTAGCAATAAGCACTCAAGAAAATTCTCCCTCTCACTAGGCACTTTTCCCCCATAGCAGTGCTACTGTGCATCAGCATTTCAGATGAGGCGTGAAATGTTTGTAGGCCTTCTTTGTGATGTGAAGTGATAGAGGGCAGGATCCTTGATCCAATTCACAGCTCAGCACTTCTCTTTGCACAAAGAACATTCTGCCTAGAGTCAGAGCTCCTTATATAGCCAACACCGCTGCAAAAGACCTCACATCATCAAACCACAGCATAAAAGGAAGTAAGATTAATACATAATTTATAAATGTTTGTAATAATTAAGAAAGGAGACGAAAAGGAAAGTTATCTTATGCATCTAGGTCATGGCAGTTTGAAGTAACCAATGAGTGTATGAGTTTACACAGGAAGGTTTTCAAAGTAACACTAGCTGTAGAATCCTAGAAAGGCTTGGGTTGGAAGGAACCTTAAAGATCACCTAGTTATAACCCATGTTAGGGTTAAAACTAGGTGATCTTGCAGGGCTGCTTCCCACCAGATCACCAGTCAGACCATCAGGGTAATTCCTGAATTACTTCCTCTTCTTTTGACAGAGGTATTTGGTTTAGTGTGGTAGATAAAAGAAGCAATACCTCAGTAACAGATGAAATGAGTGCCAGATTGTATGTTCACTTTGCATTTTGTTGCAGATGATTAAGAAGTTATTTTTCCCTACACATGTACACACACACACTTATTACCACTTGCTAATACTTCTCTGCAGCTTACCTACTATCCTCTTCTACTCAGCAAAATAGAACAAAATATGAGTACTCCCCGATTGCCCTGGTCTATGCCCTTTGACAGACCTGTAATTTAAACAATTTCCATATTGGCCTGAAATACAACACCCTCAGTAGCTGAGGAGAAATCACACATCACTGATCTCCCTGAAAACCAGTCATCTCCCCAAGAAAAACTAAGGAAAAGTAGTAAAGGTAAATGAGGCCAAGGACCAGACAACAGCTGCAACAGAAGCTTTCCAGCCAGGAAATGCGCACTCTGGGGGCTCATGTGGTAATCAACAACTGGTGGCTTTAAAAGACAACCAGTAAGCCAGTATGAGTAAGAAGAGAAAGACAGGTTTCGAAAGAGAAAACTTAGTATCTGTTCAGATAAAGACCAAGTTAGCAAAAAGTAGGTGTAAAGACAGTTGTTCTGGGACTCCTCCAGTGAACATCTGCCTTCAACCTTGCAGTTCTGCTCCTAAACTGTCTTCCTTTTCTTTGATTCTCCACAACTTTACCTTTTTAGTCTACCTCAAGTTTGGACTCAGCCTCATTTACAGCACTTAGTGATTAGTCATCACTGATGTTCAAGCAATGCAATTTTACATACACTAGCCTGGTGTATGTACTGGAATATGAGAAGGGATCACTCCGATGTAAGCTTCTTCAGCTCTTCTTTTTGGCTGGGAATTTGTAATAGTAAGCTCACAGACTGTAAACTCTGTTTTAAAGCTATGAATGCTTTCTGAGTAAAGACTGCTGCAACATAACATTTTGTTGCTGTTTGTCTCGAGTCTCTTTTTGCAAGTCACCGACTTTTTTGATGACATCTTATAGCAGTGAAGATTTTGGCTCAGGAATTGCACTGCAGAATGTATTTCCCATTTAGACAGTGTGCAGTAAATTCACTTTATGAAGAACAACGCTAAGATATTTGGAAGGCTGACACAAACTATGTAACATTCAAATCACATAAAAGCATCTAAGTAATATTGAAGGATGCATCTGTTATATATAAGAGGAAGAAATTTCTAGATGGCATAAAAGCTAATAGAGCTGAAAACTGCAATCTGAGGACTATTTTATTCTGGGGTACACAACTGTAAGTCTAACTTTAAAAAAACGAGAAATTATGTACATTATTTCACTAAATTACTGGAATCAAACCAAAAAAATTTCCAGAATGCTGCAAAGTATTGGGTATTTATAATTTTCTCAGTAACTTTAGGAAACTTGAAGCAGAAGCAAACTGCTTAGCTTACAATAAACACACTCAAAGCAATAACTGGACAGCATTTGACGGAACTATAGTTGACACAGGCCCAAGTGAATTCATGAGTAACAAGGATTTCCAGCTGTAAGTTTTTGTGATGCAAATCCTGCAAGACAGACTGTTAAAAAACACTCTCAGAGACTCAAAAATTAGACATCTCCAAAAGACCATGGGAAAATAAATAGCATGCCAGAACGCAACCTGCATTTCATCAATACAGGAAACAGAATTTTCCAAAAAAAAAACAAAAAACCAACCACTCCATAGCATTAAGAGCAATAATTTAAATACAGTTTTACAACAATGACACCATTAGTACAGAAAAGTATTTTGTCCAGCCATATGTAAGTACTTGAACTAGCTTTTCTGAACTTAGTACCCCAGTCCTGTATGCAAACTCAGTAGCTCCACAGGCAAACTGAAAACACAAAAAAACACATGCTATAACTTGCAAATAAGAAATGCAATTTCAAAGGGTGATTCAATGAACCTAAGTTAGGCCTTCTTATACAAAATACTTTTAAAGCAGCCCTCTCCTTTTCTACCATGTCCCTGAAGTTATGCTGCTGATGGAAGATTCACTTACAAGCAAAACTTCCTTCCCAAAACAAGCAAACAGGAAGTCAAAATATTCCAACTGTCAGTAAGAATAAACTTATAAGAATAAAGCAGTTTAAGACTAGCTTTCTTAGGCTAACATTAACTCCAGTACACATCCATCACTCCCCTCCACACCTTTCACACTTAAAAGAAATAATTACCCTTTAAGCTCATGCTGGGGTCTCTACCTTGAGCAGTAACTGGCATAATTATTTTGTATACTTTAGTGCTGCCAAAAACGTTTTGAGTATTACTATAATATTGTCATGGCAACACTTCTGGTGCTGTTTATCTTGGCTTTCTATTCTACAAGTCATCAATATTTTTCAAGACAGCTACAAGCAACATGATTACAAGATGGCCACGAGTGAACAAAGAGGCTGCAGAAATATGGATAGCAGAGCTTCTTTGAAGACAAAACACTGTCACTTTCAATCATTCAAAGTATGCAGCAAACCACTTATGATCTATTATCAGTGAGAATCAGTGAGAGAGCAGCTTCAGAGAGACAAGGAAATAAAATCGGAAGCAGAAACATGAACCGTTCCAAAGAAGCTGGAGGATGTTTTAGAAGAAAAAGAATCTGAGCTTGTGGCTCAGACAACAGAATAATACTTTCATCCATTAAACATACATACATTTATTCTGCTTTCCAGTATTTTGCAGCAAGCTGGAACATACATGCACAGAACTACTGCAAAGAGACCTCAATTCTGATCAGAATTGCTTTAGGATTTCTAAATAATATCTGGTTCTAAAAAAAAAAAAACAAAAACCTTTCACTAATGTTTAAAAAGAAGCTTTAATGAAAAGCTGAACAGCTTTTAGAGTATGCATATACTATCATCCAGACTTACACTATAAACAAAAGTTTTTACTTAAACACCCTATTTTTGAAACACATGCTTAGAAGATTGAAAATGAAAACCAAGATTTGTCTAGTTTTTTTTTATTTGGAACTTTAATTTTGGAACTATAAGAAAATACAAAGTTATCCTACTCTTAGGAAGAGGCCTTTGGGTCCACCTGGCTCAAACCCACCCTAGAGCAAAGTGCCCAGGTGGCATATGAAGATTTCCAAGGAAGAGACTGCACAGCCTCTGGGCAGTCTATGCCAGTGCTGTCACTCACACAGTGAAATGCTCCCTGATGTTTAGATAGAATCGCTTCTTATTCTTATCCTTTCCATTAGAAAAGAACCTCAGCACAAGTGAACTGCCTCTATGTCTTGTACACTCTTTGTGTATGACTTGTCTAGAAATGTGACATTTCTATCCACACAGAAAACACGACAGATAAGTGGCTTAACCTAAAATGAAAAAGTAGTTGGAGCAAAGCCAAACTCAGCTCTCCATCAGAATTCCAGTTCTGTGCTCTCAACTGTAAAACGTGCCCCCACTTTATCTGATACATCTGGCACAATTCTAGTGAGAACAATGGCAAAACAAGTTAAAACACAAGAAATCAAGTTAAAGGGTACATCAAAAAATCACATAACGAGTTTTAAATTCATTAGTGCTGCGAATTGTTTACATTAGAAGTACAACCTACTCCTACTGAAATCCATGAAACACGGACAGTTAAGCATCTGCACAGCAAATCCGTCATAAAGTACACTATCTGCTAGAACCATTGGGGTAAGAATAAAGTTTTGCTGCAAGCTTATAAATGAATTAGAATCAAGTTTTCCTGTAGTAACAACTGAATTTTATCAGTGCTTTTAAAACCACCAGCCAAACTTCCGGTCCCAATATTCAGCCAATTTCTCACCAGGCTGAGGGAGTCCAGACTTCTCCAACACAAGCTCCAAGCAGATGGGCTCAGTAAACACAAGCTTTCAGGCTCTGCAGGCCTGAAATTTTGCTTCTGGAAACAGGCAGCTATATTCTCAGGCATGCACAGATGAATTAATGACAACATACTTCTTCACTGATTCAGAATTATACATGTTACAAGGGGGAGGTATGAAAATAATATTATAAACATACCAAAAGCTCTACTGCATTCCAGATTGGCAGCTTTGGCTGGTCACAACCTCTTAATAAATACAGATACTGAGATTATAAGCTACAGCTGGAATAAAGAGCAACAGCTGGTTTGTAGACAGCAATTTTAATAAGATCTTCAGATAGAGTTGAGTTGCTGACTATGCAGAAAGAAATTTCAAATCCCCTTTAAACTATTGCTGAGGTGTTAGTAACTGGCTTTGGGTGATCAGTACACTTTTAAGACTTACAACAGCTCAAACACACTGCTAAGAATGTGATTTATTGCAAATGGATCTTTAATATGAAAGTGGTTGCCATCTATATTGAAAGACTTTAAGACTGAAGCTTACTGGATATTTAGGTCCACTATAAAGAAAATACGCATTTAAACACATCAGTTCATTCCAAGGGAGTTACACCCACAATACTATTCAGGCAGAAACATTTCCATTTGTAATTAATGAAAATATCAGATAAAGTTTGGATACTAAAACAAACTTTACTAACTAAACAAAGAATGGTCTTTAGTACAGCATTCCTGTTAGGTTAGAATCTGATGTCATTTTTATAAGAGCAATCCATGGAAACTATATGGCTTAAACATTTTATTTCTATGCAAAATTAAAATTTTCAATTTTATTCCAGCAAAACAACAGTTTCAGTATTATAAATAATGCCTGTCCCACTGATAAGCCACTGAGAGCCACTAAAATAGTGTAAACACCTAAAGATTTAAACATGTGCAATATGCAACAAAAATTTCATTTAAACCAAGTACTTCATACTGTACAATTTAAATAGGAAAACGCCTTCCAACATGCATAATCTTCATCTGGGATATAAATAGTTTATAGTACAAATTAACAATATTGTTGATCTTACCATTTCAACTTACCATTCCATTGGAATTATTTATTCCATTCATATTAATTTTAGTTACAAATCTAACTGTAGGAGGTGCTTCTGGATATTTAGGTCCACACTCTACTTTCAGACTGTATATTCTGTTTTCATAGTTTGTCTAGAAAGCAAAAAGACAGACTAATGCATCTTGCTGAAAGCTGAATATTCAGAAAATAACAAAAAGCAAAGGCAAGAGGAATAAAGACAAAGAAATCCAAAATAATTAAATTTATTATTATTATGTACTCATTGATAGTATTGGATTACTAACTGATCTCCCACTGTTTTGGTTACGTTGATTAGCTGATGAATTTCTATAAATTATACTATTTATTGACAGTACCATACAAAAGCTTTTAACAGAATAATTTTTTTTTTTAATTCACATTTACTCCATTTGCATTGCCAAAGCACTTTTGGCACAGCAGGGAGCTGAGGGAAGAGAAAACAAAAAGGGAATAGGGAAAGATAAAGGTGAGAAAACAAAACAAAAAAGAAGATGAAAATAGTATGCATAAAAAAACATACTCTAGAAGTAAGTAGCACTCCAGAAAATATCTAAGACTCCCATTGCTGAGAATTTTTAAGCAAGTAAATATTTCAGAGAGGAATAAAATCAAGAAATGGCCATTTAAAGCTTGGTTTACCAAAGCACTTATTAATTTCAGGCAGTGCAATTAGGTGACAGCATCTTTGCAGAAGACACCTCTCCAAAATGACTGTGGAAGAGTTTGTTAACAGTTCATTCATATTGTTTCTATGTATATCTTGAGAAAATCCAATCAGAAATAAATACAATTCTAACTTGTTTTTTCTTGTCAAGTAGGACATGCATGATAAAAAGCATCAGCATCTCTACTGGTCACTGATGCACATGCCTGCACTTCAAAAGGAATATAAACCCAGCTCCTACAAAACGCCTATTGCTAATGTGAACCTGCAGCAAAAAGATGCTTCCAAACTTTCAAAAAGTACCATCTGCAAGCTGTTCTGCATCAGTCAGCTGTCACTCACTTCAAGTAGAAGAATCAACTTCAATGTCAAATTGTCAAAAGTTCACTCTGTGTCCAAGTAAACGGCAGCATTGAAATCATGCCACTGAAGGATCCTAACTGTGCCTTGTAATTTCAAGAAGCTACAGATAGACCAATAACTGGATCAGAAAGAAACAAAAGAAAGCAGGATACCTTTCTATTAAAAAAAAAAAAAAGATTTTCTTCTATTACTGCCCGCTACAAGCAGGACATCCAAAAAAACTAATCTTGTCCTGCTACAGATAATATATGTGCTACCACATTTCAGAGAAGAATGCTGTAAGCTATAGTGGAAATAGGCCAAAATGTACATCCACTCCTCACAACTCTGAAAATTCCTGAGAATGGCACTCATTCACATTCCCTTATTCCAATCCAGGCAGCTTCTCAATTTTGCTGTGCTTTTCCAATTGACACTTAACTGTAAGTTAAAAGTCCATGACCAGCTCCCCAGAAGTCTCAAAAGCATTTTTCCACGGTCAGAAAAATGTTTCCTTTCATTCAAAACAAATTTCTCCTTCCCCTTCCTTGTCAGTTCACCTTGCAAATCAAGCAAGAAAACACTGATAAGCAACTCCTTGCACAGCTCCAGTGATTGGTATATGAAGAACTTCATGCTGTGGGAAGTATTAGCAACTTCCCCCGTGCTCAACCAAGCTGCACACTGTCTACCTAACTCAACCAATTCCAAAAACACCCATCTTTTACAAACCCCAAAACTGGATGTGCAGTTGTTTTTATTGAGGTACCATCCTGGTTTGAGAGCTGGTGGCTTTTACTATCCACGGTCTCCACATACTGAAATTCTTTCTACTCTAAGCAAGATTGCAAGTCTCTAACATGGTCCAGAATATTACTTGCTTGCACTCTCTTACATAAAAAGTCAAAAAGAAAAAAAATAAACAATTTAATTTGACTAGAATTTAAGCTGCATCCCAGTGGTTTGTTCTGTTTTTAGTAAAAGCCTTTAGCCTCCTCCATAATAACCACTTCCTTCAAAGGTGCGTTAAGAATCTGCTTTAGGTGAAACCAGAAACCAGCCGGACAGTTCTGGAAACTATTACAAATTTTCTTCTGAACAGATTTGAATACTGTGACTCCACAAAACCTAGTATCCAGGCATACCCGTGTTATGTTTGTATTTTAAATTGGTCCTGTCTCAAATGTATCTAAGTCTCAGGAGCTCCATACAATTATGCAGATATTCTAAACAGACTGCTGCATGTTACAGCTAATTGACTTCCAAAAGGAGCTTGAATTACATTGAATGTAACTCTGGAACTCATTATCTCCACTGAGGTCAAATTCTGATCTCAGTTCTTGTCTTGGATAAGTCAATAAGCCCTCCAGCACCAAAGAAGGCACAAGACAGTATACTCATGTTAGCAGTGAAAGATGTGCTAATTTAGAGCTACTGGAAGTAAACTCATTTAAAGACTTAAACAGTTTTGTATCATATTAACTCATTAGAAAGCTTGCACAAAAGTTACATGTTAGGTGAAGATGTGTCCATTCATATTGGGTAAGGCTGATTCTCAGACATCAGGGATGATTACATCTCTTGCAGGCTTTCAGCACGGATGATATTTCATAGAAGTTAAAAGATCAGAAGGATTTGATTTTTTTTCCTATTATTATTTATATACTTTATCCTATTAGCAGTAACTAACAACTGTTTGTTCTTTAGGACCAATTCAAGAAGACTGCATAAATCGCAATACTAAAAGACCATCTGATAAATCTCTGCTACAGAACTGAAATAATTGGGCATATACATTAAACCGTGGAAAGAAATTTACCCCGTTTACTGCACTGTCACTGTACATTTATGGGCAGTAGCGATGGAAATACAGACTAAGTATATTTCTAACTCAGTAGAAAGTGTAAAAACACAACTGGCTTAAACAGTTGCAGAAACATGTACTAGACTGGAGGCTAGACTGAAAACACTAACGTGCCAGAAAGTGATGACCTTTAATGTGAATATACAGTATTTCAGAACTACAACATTAATTGAATTTTACACCATCTTTTAACTAATTCCCTTACAATGTAGGGAGTAACCTTTTTCAGTTGGCATTTTGTAGTGCTTGCAAAATTTTATTGTCACACTTACCCTTGGTGGCCCAATAATCATGCCTGTCCACCTGGTGAGTGTCATATCTTCATCATCTTCAAGGCCCCAGCTTACTGTACCATCACCTACTCCCTTCTGCCCTTCTTCAAGTTCTTCCAATAAGCGAAAATTACGAGGTACTTTAACTACAGAAAAAAATGGAAGAATGTAATTAATACTGGTCGCATCAACAAAAAGATAAATGACTTCACTGCTTATATATGGCATGCACTGGCAATCAGTGTATTTTCAAAGCATAAAGAATATTTCCTGTCTGAATTTATTTAGCACTTAAGTTTTTCTGAAGCAAGTAACCACTACTCTAGAAGCCAGTAACTTTTAAATGTTAGCAAGACAAACTATATAAGAGAAAATAGATTTCTGCTCAGTTTGCCTTGGCTTAATTCAGATTCTCCTATTTCTCTAGTACAGTACTGTTTAGAGCCAAAGCGTTTCAAAATCAATTATTTGTCGGTCAGGTTCTACTCAAGTGCAATTAAAATTAAATCAATATTGCAAATTCTTCGCAAAAATAATTAAAGAACGCAACACTTAATACAAATGACATTAAAATATGTAAACTGTAAAATAAAGACTGAAACATTTTCAAATTATTTGATTAAAAAAAATAATAATCAATGAAACAGATACTGAAAAGCTAGAAATCAAGTTCCATTTAACCCAGTGATTATTATTCCCAACTAACAGAGGAAAAAGAATAAGAAGCATAAAAACACTGATTAAGTTGCTGAAGAGAGTTAATGATGTATTGACAGCAAAAAATAAAAATGTACTATCTCTACAGAAAGCCAAGTAATATTCACTTAGCTGAACTATAATTACTGGATTTTAAAGACGATAACTGGGGACAGACAGATATTGATAGATATTAAATGAATGGAATTGCTTTACATCTCAAAGTAAAATTATATTTCAGTATGACAGTAGGGAACAAGGAATGTTAGTGCTTGCACATGCCCTCACAGTATACTTTTATTTTCAAATGCACAGTGATGAGATAGCAATTATTACAACTTCAGTTTTCTTTCAATAAATATTAATAACCTTATTTTTACCTATAGCTTATAGATTTTCTAATAGCTACTTTAGCTATAGTGTTTCCAATGTTTTTTGTTTTTTGTTTTGTTTTTTTCCCACTGGAGCACCTGTTTTGTACCTGTTTTTTTCACTAGAGAACCTGTTTTGCCATCCAGAGGGACCCCAACAAACTCGAAAGGTGGGCCCATGTGAACCTAATGAGGTTCAACATTGCAAAGTGCAAGGTTTTGCCCTTGAGCTGGAGGAATCCCAGGCATATACACAGACTGGAAGGAGCAGTTCTTGATAGTAGCCCTGCAGAGAAGGACCTAGGGGTCCTGATGGATGAAAAACTGAACGTGAGCCAGCAGTGTGCTCTTGCAGCTCGGAAAGCAAATGGTATCCTGGGCTCCATCTGAAGAGGGGTGGCCAGCAGGGACAGGGAAGTGACTGTCCCTCTCTACTCTGTCCTCGTGAGGGCCCATCTGGAGTACTGTGTCCAGGTCTGGGACCCCCAAAGCAGGAAAGATGTGGAGCTGTTGGAGAGGGTCCAGAGGAGGGCCACAAAGTTGATCAGGGGGCTGGAGCACCTCCCCTACGAAGACAGGCTGAGGAAGCTGGGCTTGTTCAGCTTGGAGAAGAGAAGGCCACGAGGTGACTTCATTGCAGCCTTCCAGTATTTAAAATGGGATTATAAACAGGAGGGGAATCAATTTTTACAAGGGTAGACAGTCACAGGACAAGAGGAAATGGTTTTAAATTGAAGGAGGGAAGGTTTAGATTGGATCAAGGGGAAGTTCTTTATAGAAAGAGTGGTGAAGTGCTGGAACAGGCTGCCCAGAGAGGTTGTGAATGCCCCATTCCTGGAGGTATTCAAGGCCAGGTTGGATGGGGTCCTGAGCAGCCTGGTCTAGTACTACACCTGGAGGTTGGTGGGCCTGCCTGTGACAGGGGGGTTGGAACTTGGAAGGGATCCCAAGGATCATCAACTCAAGGCATTCTATGATTCCACTTGAAAAAATAAGATACATTATAGAACTAACAAAAACTGAGTGTACACAAAGTTCTTAACAAGTATATACTATATAGCTTGAAAAAGATGAAAGTGAAAGAAAACTGGTTTTCATATGCTGTTTAGTCACTGAGATTTCAGGTTTGACACTACCCTACTCTGCATCACCAATGGTCTGTCCAAAAAATTAAGACCAAAATGTATATGTTATTTAATTAATACCTACATAGAACAGCAGAGATAAGCACATCGTTCAGCAACTATCTAAATAGCTTCCCTTGCATAACTATGGTTCCTCTTAAATTGTGCTTAGAAAATGTTCTAGACATTTTTCATCGAAACGGGCTAGCAAGCATCTCCTAAAAGTTATACAAATATCCAATTTCTCCACATTCCCAGGAAAAGGCATAAGGTGTAGTATAAGGACAGCATAAGGGAATTAAGTCGCTCATGTATGGCCTCACTTTCCTTCTGTCTTTGATATTACTGCTCCTGTAAGCTACATAATGAGCTATTTTAGGTTGTTAACTGAGCATAAAATTATACATTTTGGTTAGTTTCCTGAAAGCTTGACAAAATGACCCAGCTCACAAGGATCTCAGTTAAGCAGCAGCAAACATTCAGATGTAGAACTACACTGTAATGCGGCTCAGCTACTCTGGAAACTTATTTTCCCAGGTAAGACAGCACATACAATTACCTGAAAGTATTAGCACAATAGGAATCAAGGAGCAGATAATTTCTCTGTTCTTCAGTAGAGATCCTTTTAAAAAGCTCATCTGAAATTCATATGTTCATTCCTTTGGTCCCATCTTGACCTGACAAACTTACAACAGATCAATGTCTTGCAGCATATGACTTCCATGGCCAACCTGGAACAGGCTCTGAGCAACCTGATCTGCAGGTGTTCCCATTCATTTGCAGGGGAGTAGGACCAGATGACCTTTAAAGATCCATTCCAACTCTCAAGAATTGCATGACTCTATGAATGAAGAGTTTTTGATGGGCACACAGAGCCTCACAAAGCAAAGCCTAGTGCCACACACCCTTTTTCCCCAAACAAAACTGTATACTTGATTTATCTTACACTTCTTCAATCTTTATCATAGAATCATAGAACAGCCTGGGTTGAAAAGGACCACAATGACCATCTAGTTTCAACCCCCCTGCTATGTGCAGGGTCGCCAACCACGAGACCAGGCTGCCCAGAGCCACATCCAGCCTGGCCTTCAATGCCTCCAGGGATGGGGCATCCACAACCTCCTTGGGCAACCTGTTCCAATGCGTCACTACCCTCTGTGTGTAAAACTTCCTCCTAATATCTAACCTAAACCTCCCCTGTCTCATTTTATGACCATTCCCCCTTGTCCTATCACTATCCACCCTCGTAAACAGCTGTTCCCCTTTATCATTATACTTCTTACAATCATCATCATATGCTTCTCCAGTGCCTTAAATCCATTTCTCAGAAGCCCCGCCCTGATCACAAAACTCCTGAGTTGCAGATTATCTCTGGAAGAAGAGCATATAATTAACCAAATGGGCCTTAATATTTTTTCTGCTCACCTGCTGTTGCCTTCCCATGCAGCTGAGCTCAGCTGCTCACTGCCAGCAGAGGTCCCCCCTCCCACTCTTGCACTGATTGGACTCCTCAATTAGCTGCACTGGCACACTCATTTAGCAAAAAGCTATTCTTCCTGTAATAAAACCAAATCCACCCAGTTAATCAACTGAATTGACTCAGGAAGGAAAATAACAGGTGCCTTCCTTTGCAAAGCCATGGGTGCAGGGATGAGCAGACTGGCAAATCGAGCTTCACATACAAGACCACAGGAAATGACAGGTTTCTAGAAAATAACCCCTTGGGACTGTCGTGTTTATTGCATCTTTTTCTCCACTCAGTCATCTGTGCTCACTGGTTCTCCCCACTACCCACAGCAAGTGACAGGCTCCCCACACCAACCTCCCATCAGTGCTACAAGCAGGCAGCAAACACTGCTCTGCAGTTAAATAAGTAAATAATAAATGTACAAAAACTGAGATTGCAAATTATTTAAAAACCTCCTAGAAAAAGATGTTACAAGTTAATTGAAACAAGAGCAAAGATTTGCTTCCTTTCAAAATGCTATTCAGTTCTACAGCATTTGAGTTGGAGATACAAGAAATGATTTTTTACATGAAATACTGGATTTGTTTTAGAAAGAACACTTCTGTATTTAAGGTACCTGGTTCACATCCACAGACAAATTTTATTCCTTTATATCATTTATATCATAGGAAGTGCAGAAAATCTTTTTTCTTATGCAATCTCGTATTTAAGAATCAGAAAACAACCCCTTGCCCACATTTCCAAAGAAATGCTCTGATTCATCAATTGATACCAGAGAGGCAGAGCTGGGCAATAACCCAATCATGAATGTTTAATGGCTAGGGGCAGCACAGCCATTCGTATCTGAAAACACAGCTGGCTTAATCACGATTACAAATGAAACAAAAGCAACCTCCCCCACCTGCTTTCCAGTTCATCTTCAAAGCTTAACTCGCTGCAGATTTTACTGACAAGTACATCCTGACCCTCCAAAACTGTACACATGAACTGTCAAGCTGCATTTACCAAGTTTCCACAGAGCTGAAGGAAACACTTAACTTAAAAACAAACAAACAAAACACACAAACGCTCAATAACACTCATGGTCATACATACCAATAGTTTAATCACAAAACTGGACTACAGTAGCTGACGCCTATTGGAAATCCGTGGAACTAACAATGAAGTTAAGTACCTTAGAACAATGAGAAAAGAACAAGAAGCAGAACTAGTAAAGACAAGGACTGCCACAAAAGTAATGCCTCCGATTTTATGATGTTGGCAGTACAACAGTAGAGGTTGAACCTTCCTGCCAATATCCCATTACATTTTGTTGCGATGTGACAGATGGCAGCAGAGGAGTAGTCTGATAGAGTGGAGTCTGATGGAAATGCGTACAGAGCAAAAGTATGGAACTGAATTCCTCCATGAGGAAAAAATGGCACCTACTGACACTCATCAACACTTGCTGAATGTTTATGGAGACCAAACAGTGGATGTTGGCACAG